CCTCCCTCCCTCCTTCCTTCCTTCCCTCCCTCCCTCCCTCCTTCCCTTCCTCCCTCCCTCCTTCCTTCCTTCCTTCCTTCCCTCCCACCGCTCCTTTTCCTTCCTCCCTTCTAGCACTCTGTTTCCTATCTGGGCCAGGAGAAGTCTGTGAGAAAACAACCAAACATGGAGAACACCCAGGGCCTCACAGTCTTCCCTTCTAGACGTGATGACATTTCCTAGTTGGGACATAAAATGTCTTCCAGCAAACCACCCAGCTCAGCAGGTAGCCAGGACTCCACAGTCCGTCCTTCCTCCTCCTCCTCCTCCTCCTCCTCCTCCTCCCCTTCTAGCCCTGATGACATTCCCTCATTGGGTCATGAAACATCTGCAAGAAATGCACCCCGCTCGGAGGGAACACCAAGGACCCCACCATTCCTCTCTCGTCCCCCCAAAACCCAGCTCCCTCATGCAAGTCCACAGTCTTTGGGGGCGGGGGCGTGGGGGGGGGGAGAAAGAAAGAGTTGAGGAGGACAACCTGCCCCGAAGTGGAACGGACTCTGAGTTGCAGTGGGGGACACGGTTAGAAGAAGATCCGCAAAGGACCCGGCGGGAGGACCGTCTCGGGGAGGATGTGTCCGTGGCGGGCTGAGGAGAACTTGACATCAAGATCGGTGGCGGTTAGGCTGCCGGTTCGCAGCGGTTCAAGCAATCCTGTTGCGCCGGTCAGTTGTTGGCCCCGCCCACTCACCCCCACCCTTTTGTCCTATATTTCCTTTGTTTTTACCTCAGTTGATAGGCGTGGCAGGGTGGATCACCGCGCCTCAGCCGTTTTCCTCACCCGCACTGACAGCAAGATAATTTTTCGTGCTTAAAACTGCCCGTTTTAGAATGCTCCGTGCGCGCCCCCACAGAGCTGGTGGTAAAATATTTTGAATTCCGCCACTGCTCAAGATCCCACAGAGGGGACCTGAAAGACACACACACACACACACACACACACACACACACCGCCTTCCATCTCACCGAGATCCTGCCATTCCTAAATCGGGATGGCTGATTTTTATCCCGGTGTTTATTTAGGAGAAAGCGGGGCCGGAAAAACGGAAGCCAGCAAGTACATCATGCAGTATATTGCCGCCATCACCAATCCGAGCCAGCGGGCCGAAGTGGAAAGGTAAGTTTATCCCAGGCAGTCCTTGCTTTATGACTAGTTCATTTTGTGACTGTCCGAAGACTGTCCCCGGCTACCAAGGAAAAAGGGACTTAGCATCATTTCTCACACTTATAACTGTTGTAGCATCCCACCCACCCCCAGTCACAAGATTTACATTTGGATGTTCGTATTTATGACGGGTGCAGAGTCCCGGGGTCAGGCAATCCCTTTTTGCAAACTTCTGATGGGTGAAGTCCATGGGGAAGGCCCTGATTCACTTAAAAACGGTGTGAGTCACTCAACAATTGCAGGGATTCACTTAACAATGATGACAAGAAAAGGCAAAATTCATTTTAACACTAAGTCTCACTTAGCAAGGGAAACTTTGGGCTCCATTGTTGTCGTAAGTTGAGGACTAGTTGGACAGAGGTATTTTATATATATTTATATT